CTACAATATATCCAGAAGGTGTTGAGGATGTCTCTCAGCTATACCATAATTGGCTGAGTTGCAGCCATTTTTGTTTTGATGAGTTGTGGCGGTCGTCTTGAATTGGGTCGACCCCAAATGTTAAAGAGTTGCTGAGGTACACTGAATGATTACTATCTAAGAGTTTTGCTAAATTATTATCTGCGGTTTATGAAAGATTTTTGCTAACAGACAGACAGTGTTGATTTTAATATTTATTGTCAAAGTTTAAAGCAAACATTTTGTGCATTGTATAGTGCTTGTGGTATGTGTTGAAGATGACCCTCAGCTACTTCCACACTCAAAATCTGTCAGATGGGCTGAGTTACATTCACTGATGTGTTTCCTAAAGTCTGTTGACTGTGGTGGCCATCTTGATTTAAGTTGCCGCCAAAAATTAATCAGTTGTAAACAAAACACATACTCATCACTTTTTAAGAGTTTCAATAAAATTTGTCCAGTGGTTAATGAGATAATTTGCCAACAGACAGAAACAGTTAACTTTTAAAGTTAATGGCCAAGTTTTAAAAATAGATATATCTTTTTTCCAGTTAGTGCTCAGGATATATGTTGTAAAAGACCCTTAGCTATTATCACACAACATTTTAGCTCAATATTTGTGCAACTGGCTGAGTTATTGCCATTTTTTATTTTTGCATTAGCTAAGTTTGATAAGCTGTGGCGGCCATCTTGAAAGAAGTCGCCTCCAAAAGTTAATTATTTGTAAATAGAGCTCCACTGATTACTGTCTGAGACTTCCATTAAAATCTGTCAGGTGGTTCACGAGATATTTCGCTAAAGATACAGATAAACACGCGGGCAGCAACATCATCGCCGCGTCGCCCGTTGGCGGCGGGCGATAAATGGCGCGTGCACACATCCTGCTCATGCAGATAAACCAGCAGATAGAAGGATGGCTGAACTCTTGAGCACGGTTCACTGGAGACGGGAATCGGGAGCCACAAGTATTCTGCCAGGTTCCTGGATGAGTCAGCGTCCGCTTGAAATAGATACTGCAGGCATGGCCTTGATCACACTTTTTCACCAAGTGAATCGTTTATCAAACACAAACACTGCCGCACAAAAGTCAAGCTTATTTTCTATCTCCTGGTTAAATTGATAAGATAGCCTGTGGAGAAAAAATAAAAATAAAAAAAGCACCATGTGGATATAAACACTCTGTGTGTCAACAGTGTTTCGGGGAACATTGGCAAGCGCTGAGCAGCATTGTTCCCCGGAGCTTTGTGCGTTCGTGTGGGTATGTGTGTGCGTCGAGAGGTTGAGAGTGTACATTTTGGCCTGGTTATGTTTGCAGAAGGGCAATCAGGCCCAGTGCCCAAAACCAGTCAGCTGAGCCAACCAGATCTGGGCAAATAAGCAATTTGTGTGTCCACGCACACACACACACACATACGGCAGAAGCAGTGTGGAAGGATACACACCCAGTGAGCCAAACACATAATGCATGATGCAAACAAACAAACAAACAGGAATCCAGGTTTTCTCCCTCTGTGTGTCCTCATCCCCACGCGCACACACACATTCACACAAAGAGAGTCAGACGGGTTAAGAAACAGGTTGCCTATTCATATTTCAAATTATTTCAGAAGGAAACGTGCACGAAAGAAGCCTGCAGAAGAGCTGATCCCAAGCAGCCTGAATCAGAATTAATCCTCCAGCACTCAGCAGTCTTCAGAGACTCTCATGCATTGACTTCCACAGGCTGCAGGAGGGCTGAAGGGGAGCACTTTAAATGCTAATGAGCCTTTATGATAATAGATCACAAAGCAATGCAAAGTTGGATCCTGTAGATCTTTCATACCTAAAAAAAAAAAAAAAAAAGCCCCAACATGTTCCTAATATCCAGAGCCAGCAGTTAAAGGGTGATTCCACGTGTACAACATGCAGGAAGAGAAAAAGAAAAGAAAAAGAGAAGAAGAATGGGAATAATAAAACAGAGGGAGAGGATGAAAAGTGAAGACGAGGGCATGTGATGAAAGAGGCAGTTCTCCTCTCAAGGAGCTTAATCCTCTTGCAGGCTGGGTTGATACTCGCTGTTATTTTCATGTTGAAATGCTGTTTGAGCCGCCGGCCTGCCAACGCAGCTGACGCCTGGGGGGGGGGGGGGGGTCACTGCTGATCTGTTGTTCATATAAAGGGTGCTCCCTCCACCCCGTTCCTCACCTGCTTTTCCCCCCCAATATGGGAAACTGAGAGGTGAGTATAATCAGGATGAAATGTGTGATGAAGTTACATCTGTACACAAGTGTGAAGGTCGTGCACACGCACACGTGCAGCGCTGCGGCAGCACGAGTCTGACGCCCACCAGAGGTTTTAAAACATGCAGAACTGCAGATACTTCTGTCTCCTAAAAGCTCAACAACACAACTGCAGCATCACACAGCTTGAAAAATGCAACGAGAGGAATAAAAGAAAAATTAAAGGGCGTGCGCAGCCAGCGAGGGTCAAGATAAACATTTTTTTAAAAAAGAACGGTGGATAAAATAAAACGGGACAAAAGCAAAATTAGGATGGATGGAGTTTGTGAGGAAAGAAGGGAGAGGAGGAGATAATGGGATGTGTGCTGCAGATGATGGTCATGGCACAACAAGAACCATCTCCCTGACCATAACCCACCACATCTCCATCCATTAGGCAGCTATAGAGCAGCAGAGAACATCCTGTGGCCAACCACAAGCTATTAGTCCCAGTCAACAGACAGAAAAAAAAACGACAAGATGAAACACAGCAGAAAATGAAAAGATGGGAGGGGAAGGAAGTTTTCATCAGTAATGGAAAATCTCCATCTACAACAGAGGTTCGCGAGCCTCTTCCCCAACAAAGCGCTTCGTTTAAAGACCAACCAAAGCACACTTTGTGCACACGTTTCTACATATTTCTGCTTGGGCGTTGCAACTATTCAAATTTGCAGTTTAGATTTTTTGCTCCAAGCCATCATAAAAACAATGTAATCGTCAAAAACTTAATAATATTCAAATTATTTAGCCACTTTTTAATTAGAAAAAACCCTACCTTCTTGTTTCACCTACTTGGCGAACTGCTACGTTCTAGCTACTATTTAGCTTCTTTTAGCTAGTATTTTGTTAAGTTTAGCCTTTAGCTACTTTTTTTTTTCATCTCTTCCGTTTCATCTTCTTTAGCATATAGTTCGGCGCTCGGCCTTCACACTGTATTTTTGCATTAAATGCAGTTTCTCCGTCTGTAAATGTTTTAGGCCGTACAGACAAAACTTTAAGCACTTAATGAATATCGGAGATTCTGTTGAACAGACAACGTTTTATGTATTTTTATATTTGGACATGTTCTCATTTCATTTTATTAACCCACTATACGAGAAAGCTTTTTTAGATTTAAAAAAGTGTGGTTACGTGACTAAATGGAGAGAAATCTGAATAGTTTGTGTGTGGGGTGAAAGGCAGACTTCTTATATTTTTGTCTTAATTAAGCAGATTAATTTCTTTGTGACTTCAGGAAACCAGATGAAAAACTAATGACCACGTGTTTCAGAAAAACGTCACTTAGGTTTGAAGAGGTTTGTCATTTAAATATTTAGCTTTTTTTGGATTGTGCTGTTTTTGCGTTTTCTTTTTATGTGTGTGCTCATATAGCAAATTATTATTTTTCCATTGTCTTTCACTTCTTTTAGATTTCAAATTTATTTCTGTCTTTTTCCTCTCGTAAACTTCTGACTGTCTCCTCAAAATTTATTTTGCATAAAAAACTTTTGTTTTTATAAATTCTTGCATGCATTTCCTGTCTGGGCCCTCTATCGTAAAACACAGTTTGAAAACTGTGTAAATGCTTTAATGGTATCAAATTGTAAAGCATCAGCCGCCTCCGAAGACAATCTCTAACTCTCTCATAGCTTTAAAAAAAAATCATAACAAGCTTTTATGTGGCCCAGCATTTAAGAATCTTCTTGTTTTAATGGCAGTAAAATCTACCGGACCTCTTGCTGTCTGGATGCAGACGGTGCGTTCAGGGAAACTTTTGTTAATGTCTCTGAATCCAATTAAATATCACTTCATTTACTGATGCTTCACTGATTTATTGGGTGGGGGGGGGGGGGGCATCCTCAAGAACAGATCTCAGTCAAAGAGGAGTTTATAAGCCCGGCACACACACTCACACACACAAACTGAGTCGCTCAGCCTTGAGGCGCAGTTTCTGCGGTAATGTGCTTTAGATTGGGGCTGTGTGTGCAGAGATGATGGGCTGGGTAACAGATGGTCAGGAGACTATTCCCTCGGCAACCAGCCTTCTGCTTGCTACACAGCCCCGCCAACTCCACAATCCTCATCCATCTTCTGCACTCACAAATTCCCCGCCCCGAACTCCTCCGACATCCCATTCCATCTCTATTGTTTTTCTCGATGCTGTTGCGTTGCTCAACTCACTCGCGGCTCCCTACTCTCCGTCATATTCCTCTCTCACCTCTCCTCGGCCTCCTCCTCAATTACTCTTGGCGATAAAGGCGCATTGGCCAATCCAAGGCCTAATCCCATGAATTTTCTTGTTCAAGCGACAGCCTGAGTAGCTGCTCTTCGAGTCTTCATCCAGTCCAGCTGTGCTGGGCCAGTGGCCAACGCTCAGATCCCAAGCTAACAGCCACACGCTGCAACTTAAGCGCATAACTTGTCGAAGTGAAGCATCAGATAGGGTTCCCTCCAAGGAAACGGTCAACATTGGATTAACGCCCTCACTCTGGCCAGGAAGCGGAATGATTACGGCAAGCTGCAATGCTAAAATGCCCCTGAGCTAACATGTTGGCTGGCCCTCTTCACAGCCAGATCATGCTTGGGTGCACTCAAAGGGACTATAAAAAGAACAGCTCCCTGCAGCCTGATGTGCAGGCAGGGTGTGGCGTTGCTTTATTGTCACATCCACAGCTGACAGACCAGTGAAGCTAGACACGACGGCTGGGAACAAGTGCAAAAGGACTGTGTGCATGTGTGTGTTACCTCTGATAATGGCCAGCTTTGCAGTGAAAGAGATCTCTCCTTCACTGTTGCGTGCCACACACTCGTAGATGTTCTCATCTCGGGGGGCTCTGAGCGGCTGGATCCTCAGCACAGCACCAGCACCTTCATCAAACTCTATGGTCTGAGAAGCCACAAAACGTACAGAGCACATGGCATTAGACACAGCACAGCAAACATTTGCCTCCTAATAACACAACATTGAACTCATATGTGTTTTATTGTCAGCATCTTTGAATTCTTTGCTTTATCAGCATTACATGGTTTGTAATTGTGGCAAACTCCTCTAAAACTTGCACAAAACACCTCACCTGCGCAGGCATTGTACTTACCAACAAGTAAGGCTGATCCGGGCCCCCTACTTGAAATGCAACGTCGTTAAGAGTTAGATCACATTACTGCATCACTTTACAGTCAGACCTCAACTGAGCTTGAAATAAGAGCTATGCAACTCCCTCCGTTAGCTTTGCTTGTAGCCTTTTCTCAATTAAAATGTGTGCATTCAATAGAAATTAGAATCAACGGTTGGGAACATTGAATTTTCATGTGTTAGTTTTGCACATAATTCTGCAGATTTTAATTGAGCATGACCAACAATCTTTTAATCGCGTTTTTTTTTTTTTTTTAACAGTTTGGAGCTAATGTGCCTTGTTGCCAAGGTTAGCTAGGAAAATTGATGTTGCTCCCATTAATCTGTCATGCTCCGGCCACAGAGTTTATTTTAACAGCAGGATTACAAGCCTGACTCATATCAAAGCACAGAATAATTCATTTATCACTACCTGGAAAGGTTATAATTAACATGTTACAGTAGAGGCCTAGCTGTGCAACCTCACACAGACCGTGAGATGCTGCAGAAGAAAAAGGAATAACACAGTCTATGTCTAAATCGAACAAAAAAAAATCCACAACATACTTCTATTACATGCTGCCAAAAGGTGATGATTGATGAAGTTGGTTCAGTGTGAACACTTACAAAAGAGCACTTAAATTACAGATCCGTGCAGTTTTTATTAAACAACGGGGTTGTAACATTTTACATTATACTGATAGTATGTCATGTGTTTGTCTAAAATTCTGCTGTCATTTTTAAAATCCTCTTTCCCAGAAGACCCGGGCTGTTTTGCTGGGTCAGGTGATGTGTAAAACCTTCAGAGAAAGGCAGTTGCTCACGTTTTTATTAAGATTTACGCTGAGCTTTTCTGCAGGCAAGTTTGTTAAATTGTGACGTAAGCATGGGAAGATAAAGGTAAAACAAGCCCACAAGAGAAACACTTAAAGTGCGTTTGTTTCATGTGGGGAAAAATGAACTTACTTAAGGCTTTAAGCTGTGCAGACCTGGTTCATGTAAAATACATAACTCATGCAGAGGAGGCAGACAGACCGCCAGTTTTTCTGCTCACACAGCTAATACACCGGAAGACCTAGCTTCATATGGAGTGAATAAACACGAGGGTATCTCTATTTCTTTCTAAACATTTTCTTTTAACCAAACTATAGCAGCAGCAGGTTAATCATGAATCATGATCTAAAAAAATTGTATATTAAAAGTGGAATATGATCTGAAACTAAACAGCCATGATTGGAAATAATCACTTTGCTACTGTGTGAGAGAAACATTGTGCACTGTGACAACCACCTCGATACGCTGGGAGTTGACCTTCTTGCCCTTTTTGTTCCAGTAGACGACAGGCTTGGGGTTGCCGATGGCCTGACACACAAATGATGCCACCCCCCCTGACACGCCGATCTGGTCTGTTGGAATCTTGGTGAATCTTGGTGGGCCTGAAAGAAAAGACGCAGAAGAGAGAGAGCAAGAGAGAAAAGCACAAGCATGAAAACTGACATCTTCATACTTGGAAGACGTGAAATCAACTCCAGCAACAGTAGCAACCCCCCGCTGACCACGCCCCATTTCACCATCGGTGACCGGTCAGGATGACTCGTGTCCTGACGACTGCACGGTTGTGCTTACTTCCTGGGTATCATCTAGAGGACAAGCTGAAGGACTTCCTGTGGGTCATAAATAAAAGATGGGACTGAGGCTTTAGAGGAACATCTCTCTCTCGCTCCTCTCTTTTTCTGCATCCCTGTGCTTTCTGCACGGCAGGACGCCACGGCGCTGCCGAAGCTGTCACGACACGTGCGCGTTTCACAGGCAGGGAGAAGTGTCGCTGAAGATTCACAGCATATAATTGGTTTAAATGTATTAATACAAGAGGTGTGATTTATTTTTATTTTTTTTATTTTGTGCCTGCAAACGCCGAGCATCCATAAGTGATTTTATTGACGATCCAGCTTTCTGCTCAGCCTCCATCGGTGACTTCAGGAGAGCAATTTCCAGCGATCGCGTTGTGATGTGAGATGTTTAAGCACTGCAGTCGCCCTCTGCAAGAAAACAGTAATTTCCAAGTGTGATATTGAACCAACAGCACTGAACCTACACTTTTCACAGCGGCTGAGTCAGATCAGTGAAACAACCTCACGCATCCACCCCTCGCTATCTGTCTGTGGCCTGTTGCCATGGCGCCCAGCTTAACTCCTCTACAGCGACGAAATCGCAGCTATCCATCAGGGCGAAGTCAGGATGACCCTTACCATGGCAACCTGGTTCCCTCCTCCCCTGTGTCTGGGTGGGCGAGGTCCTGCCATTGTGATTGAAGACAGAGCAGGAATATTATTAGGAATAAAACCACTGCCTATCAAAGAATCACTGTCAGGTTCTTTACTGGTTCAAATGTCTTCCCACTCACTTCACGTTTTAATAGCCACACAGTGTTTCCCCACAACAGGAGCTGGAACGGCCTCACGACAAAAGAAGGGTCTTCTGTTTGCTGCACGGTGTTTTTCGAGAAGGATCAATTTGAATGTCAGAAAAAAGGTGGCTACATTTTATGCTTGCCATAATCCTGAGCAGCAGAAAAAGCATGTTGACTGAACATATTTATCCTCGCCAGATTTAGACGCAGGAGCGGGATATTTTCTGCCTGTTAGACTCTTACAAATACACACAGTGTGGAGCTAAGTGCACCTTTTTTCCCCTGCCAATAATTTGTGAGCTATCAAAAGTCGATAGGAAAAAAAAGTGTCATGGCTAAAACGGCTTCCTCTCTTCTATTGGATTATGAATGAATTTTGTGTTCCTCAAAGGCTTCTCTTGGCTTTATGTTGAATCCAGAATGTTTTCGATGTTCTCTTAAACGCCTTTCAATCCTCCTGAAAAACCGACCTCACTGACAAAATAACCACTTAAGCCTTTTCCAACAGGCAGAGAAAAGCCCTACAAGGTACTAGCTCTGAATGGATTTGCACTCAGCAGAAACTTGTTATGATCGGGAGGTTCTCTGGAAATAAAAGACTAATCAGGACCTTTGTCTTTTTCAATAGTAGGTTTCGTTCTGCTGTCGCGAAGCAGACCGGTCTGCCACTGACCCCAAACTGCTCGGGTTTAAATGGAACACCTATGTAACTTGTAATCTTTGGATTGAGTGACAGACAGCTGCTGTGCTCGGACCTAACAAGGACAGGAATGCAGAACTTCACAGTGTCTGCAGTGTGCGATAAGACAGGAACTGGAACTCTGAGTTTCTTTCTGAGCAAACTATGGATTTGAGTTAAAAACATCATTATTTTATTTAAAAAAATAAAAAGATGTAATAATCTATGATCAACAGTTTTCATTTTTCTGCCTCAGATAGTTCAGGATCTATGAAACCAAGTGTTGCATGAACAGTTAATATCTTACCTGTTGCTGATAACTCGTTCTACTATAATAATAATAAAATGCTATGTGAAAAGAAATTAGTTCTCTGCATTTAACCCATCGCACCTGGGATGCACCCGGTGGAGCGGTGGGCAGCTGTGTAGGCTGCCCGGGGAACAATTCGGGATGGGGTGTCCTGCTCAGAGACGCCACGAGATGTGCATTGAATGGGGATCGAGTCCAGGACCTTCGGGTTCCGAGTCGGCCCTGCCCCTACACCATCTCGGCCCCCTATACTGTATGACACCAGTTTGGAGGAATAAAGTTGATTTTTTTTTTCTGGATTGATGAGCTAGCTGCTAATGTATATTAACATCCCCATTTTTATATTACACAGCTATTTACATGGGATTATTTGATTATTTGCAAGTGCAAATAGTAAAAACAACTAGATCGTTTCTGAAAAAAAAAAGCATCAATCATGGTAGAGTAAAGCTTTATAAAATAGTGTTTGCATGAGATGAAGTGAAGATTTTGATTTGCTGTTAGCTTGTCACCCCAAAATTAAACTTTCAAACTTTCCTACATCTCAACAAGAAGTGTGCAATGCCACTTTTCTGTCTTTATCGTTGGCAAGCACTAGACAACAACAATCACGATGTCTTTCAGACAAGCCAAAATGAAGTTTATTGATACTCTTGACCAATGTGCAACAGAAAGATATATCCAGAAAATGACTGCTGTCTGAATTAACCCGTATGAGGTAGAGAACGAGAATGTCAAACGACGGAGACAAGTTGCCTCCGATCTCTTATTATGGCATAATTATTTAGTGAACACGAGGAGTTCCTACACAATGGAGGAGTTTTGCAGCCTGAAATCTATGGACGCATATAATCAACATTTTAATGTCTTTGTGAAGGACATCCGAACTGAGCGCTACCTGGTTAAATCAAGTTTTAATTAAATAAATAAATATATTAACATGCAACCCCCTCACAGAATGATGCCAGGTCCAACTCTGGGCTAGAACCTTCCACATTCTTGCTGTGAGGCAACAGTGCTAACCACTGAACCACCGTGATGCCAATAGAATATAAACAGAGACGACTGTGACTGGAGCTATTCGGTGTCTACTAAAATGGTGGTTAGTGACAAAGTGCTCAGATGTGAATTACATGAGAACTATATTCAGAGAGTCATCTGCAACAGATAAGACACTTACAGTTAAAAACCTATTTTAAAATATCACACCACAAATGATTTGAACTATTACTTTGAAATCGCAAACAAGCCAGTTTTTAGTTTTTTTCTTAATTAGGTTGTTTATGCCCTCTCTTTGTATTTCACAGTAAAAGTATGATATACTATATATATAATATATACTATATTATATATATATATATATATATATATATATATATATATATATATATATATATATATGTAAATGATCAAATCTGTGTTTTAAAGATGTAACTGGAAGCGTACAAATGACATTATGAAAACTATTTTAGAGACTTTTGAAATAAGAACATCTGAATTAAACAACAAACAATGGAGTTTCAATATATTATACTTGATCAGTATCATAATTTTATAAACAGTAACTGTTTACCCGTAAAAAAAAAAAATCAACATGTTCACGTGTTTTGCATAAAAAAATAAGAAGAGAATAAGAAAAGCTGAGAAATTATATGAGCCGAGTTATTTCAAGACACACCGAGGGGTCAGAAACAATCTCACCTTGTTAGGCCTTGTTAGCAGGGGGTGAAAAGATTAAACTGAGTCAATGTAAAAAACATCGCAGGTCCAATAGAACGTGCCATAAACCAGTTGATGGCCCACTTCTGGTTTATCAGCTAATATTGACCAATTTGGCTACACATATTGTTAATAAAACAATAAAAGTTAACTTTTAAAAAACTGTGTTTTCTTGTAAAACTTTTCACTCATTTGTGTTTTTTGTTTCTGCTGATATATCAATTCAATTTAATTCAGTTTATTTATATAACACCAAGTCACAACAGACGTCGTCTCCAATAGACGTTGTTAGTCGTCTATCATACCCTGTGGATGGTCCAAAAATCAGCAGATGTCATTCTGTCTCATTACTGTGTATACAAACATTTAAAAATATATATCAGTCATCTCACAGGACCATAACCACAGACACAAACTAAATAAAATGACAATTTCTGTTTTTAAAGCTAAGAGGTGCCATGTTTTATATTTATCCTTTATACCTTATCTTTTACACACACAATCTGCTTGGTGACATTTTCAGAGCGGTGATAGCCAAGTCTGACAAAGAAAATGTGTGTGTGTGTTGGGGTGGGGTGGGGTTAGAGACCACTGAGGCAGGAAATGTGTTGAGATGTTGTAATCAAGAAGATGATGAGAAACATGCTGATGGGACCTCCCGCCTTATCAAAACACATTAACAACACCACAGCTCAGAGCTGATGTACTGACAGGAGGGGAGCCACTCCCCCACTCACTCACTCACTCTCTCTCTCTCCGTCACACACACACGCACACGTTCTATGTGTCGCACTATTACATTGAACTCAGATTAAGTAAAATACAGAAAAAGAAAATGGGTAGCCATTAAAACATCATACCTAGTGCTGCACAAACGCTGGTTAGAAGGATGACCAAAGGCAGCAGCAGACACATGTGGGACAGATGAAGGCCGAGGCCCAGGATGGGTTGCCTGGTCTGAGCCAGAACGCTGCTTGGTTTACACAATAGCATGGCACCACCGTTGGGCTGGTTGGAGATGACAAAAATGCAGGTCGGGCTTCACTCAGCAGGGGCAGGCACTCTGCAAACAGAAAAAGAGGTTGAGGAGCATGCTCTTTACTTCTGACCCAGCATTTTCAGCTGCTGCCAAAAAAAAAAAACCAGGCTGTAAGGCCGTCACATTTATGGTAGTAACACAATCTCTGAGCAAAAGGACTGTGCAAGATCTCACAGGACTGTGTGCATAAAGTTATTCTCAAGGTTAGCCAAAAAGGCTGTAGAGATATACCTGCGTCGCTGAATGTCATTTTATGACACACTTTTATTTCTGGTAGCTGAGTAGTTCATTCTGTAAAGATGTCTCTGAAAAAGGAAACTCCTCTTCCTTGAGCAAATGAGACATTCCACCCCCGTTTCAGATCCTGGGACAGTTTAAACCTTGTGCTCAGCATCTCTAACTCTGGAAAGTATCAAGAGACTTTTATGGTTTGCAAGACAACCAAAGTTCCAATAAATCTGAATAATATTGGAACGCCCTTTCTGTGAATCCCAAAAATGGATGTTTGAGTTAACACAGATCACCCAGGATGTCCTGGTATCACCTTGTAACCTCCAACCAAACTATCCTTCAACGATGGTAAATAACAGAAAAGCCTTGTCTCTGTTCAAAGGAATTCCAGTCTTGACACTTGGGTCCCCTTTCCTGCATGTAGAAAACTGACAGACTTTTATTCACATTCTGAAAGAAGTAATAATGTTTTTCTATCATGAAATAATTGTTTACTGGGAATAACTAAATAACTTGCTATGTGTGTTTCTCCTGCAGATGACAAGAACCTGTGTAGCCCAAAAATTTGCAAACGTGTTTTCTGTTTACAAGTTTAACCAAGTGTCTTTATTGGTTTTAACCTCATTTAAAGTTGATAAGTGTCTTAAATGTTTTTATTTGATGACTTTTTCAACAGAGCAGATTAAAATAATACTTTATTTAGTTGATAAAGTTCAGCCCTTCCATTCTGATTGGTTCAAATCGACCACCTCTTTCAAATCAGAGGTGTGGTCAGTTGTTTACAAGAGAGGAAGACCTCTCAGATGATTAAGAAGAAGATGAATTTTGGAAGTAAAAGAGAAGAAGTTGAACGAGAGAAGACAGGAGGAGAAGGAGTAAGTAGAGCCAGTGACCAAACTCAGCGCCTTGATGTCAGGGATGTGAAGGAATTTCCACCTTTACATCAAAGATCATCTGAGCAGAACGAGTCCAACATCTGGTATCTTCAGGCGGCCGTTCGAAGCCGACTCCTGGTAGGAACAGCTGATCTATACTCTGAAGGTTGACTCTGGTGTCCAAGAATTTAGATTTTAACCAAATTAGTATTAACTCAGTTCAGTAATTATTTTTCCTTAAATCTCAGACCAAATTTTAACTATTGAATGATAAAACGACTTTCTTTTAGTTAAGTTTGCATAATTCATCTGCCTGTTGAAAATTCCAATTGTTCTACATTGCATCTTGTTTTGGTTTGGTTAAGCACTTAGAATAGTTTCATTTATCTGTTAATTCCTGCTAATAAGCAATTTTAAAGGTCACGTTAATTTCCATAAAACTCTGGTTGTGAACAAAGCCTTCATTTAAATGTCAGAAATAATTTCCAACAGTTATTTTATCATATATAGTCAAATAAACATCGCAAAATTGTATTAAAGCGTGTGTGTTTTATTTATGACATTTGAATCCTTCATATAAAAGAACTCACGGTGTAAAAAAGGTAATTCGAGGTCATTAAACAATAACATCTGAATTGATTTTCAGACCTTCAGATTTTCTCTCAGAGCTGAGAGTGGTGCCCCTTCAAAATAAAATTCATAACGAATTTTTAATCATTATTAACCCTTCCCGCTACAAGGCTAAAACTCCATCTTTTTTTAAGATAACATGGTCTCAGTGTAAAACTCTTGCAGGCGATATGCATTCCTTTGAGGATCGCAGTGTGTTGAACGGTATAGGGTGATATTTGTAAAGTTGCACAGTCAAAAATTAGGGTCAATATTTTGATTTATTTAGCTTTTAATAAGATTTTTTTTTTTCAAAGTCATATTTTCACCATGTTATTCATACATTTATAGATATCAGTTCCCAACTAAATATTTAATTCACAATATAAATATTTAGTTTACAAACTAAATGCTTAACTTACAAGTTAAATATTTAGTTAATAAACTAAATATGTTGGTATAAATTAAATATTTAAATTATACCTATTTAGTTTACTAAATAAATATTTAATTTCTAAGCAAAACATTTAATTCCTAAACTAAGTATTTAATTTGCTAAGTAAATGTTTAGCTCAGACCTAAATATTTAGCTAACAAGTCAAATATTTAGCTAACAACTTAAATATTTAACTTGCAAGTTAAATATTTAGGTCTAAGGTAAATATTTAGTAAGAAAAGTAAATATTTATTTTGGAAATTAAATGTTTAGTTTGTAAAATATATATTTAGGTCCAAGCTAAATATTTAGTTAGCAAATAAAATATTTAGTTTAGGAATTAAATGTTTAGCTTAGAAGTTAAACATTTAGTTAGTAAACTAATTTTTTAGGTGTAAATTAAATATTTAATTTACATCTAAATTTTTAGTTTACTAACTAAATATTTAACTTGAACATTAAGTATTTAGTTTGTCAACTAAATATTTATCTTGTAAATTAAATATTTAATTGGGAACTATGACATTTATAAATGTATGAATAACATATTGAAAATATGACTTTGAAAAAAACTCTTTTTTTTCCTTTTTAAAAGCTAAATAAACCAAAATATTGATGTTAATTTTTGACTGTGCAACTTTACAAATGGCACCCCATAGAACTGTATGTGAAATTTCAATTGCATCATTAAGACAACATGTTCTGTGACAAAGGAAGAAAAAAACACTGTGTCAAAACAAACATGCAAATGTAGGATCAGGTCTTCAGGTTTGAACAGAGCACTTATGACTTCTGGGATTAGGAGCCCAAACAGGCTGATGGAACTAATGTCAGAACAATAACTATAATTACTCAATAACTATGGCAGGAAACAGAACAAAGTAGTTTTCAGCATGCTGTCGCTGTACTGTATTAATAAGTCTTCTTCTCTAGTGGACCATGAAACGAGCAGCAGTGATACAGTTTTAAGAGTCCCTTTCCCCCCCTCAATGTCCTAATAATTTCATTTTAGCTTCAACCTAATTCCCTCTTAGCACTCTCTGTATTCTAGTGTTCTGATGGCGTAAAAAAAATGTTAATGCAATAATTCATCTAGACTGTACCACGGTAATGGAAATGTTTTAAACAAATAAGGATTGAGGAGAGAGAGAGGTAGAATGCAGCTCAATTCAATGACAGCAAATTACACACACATATACACACACACACACACACACTTTCTTGTTTAATCCAAAGCCAGTGGAGCCACATAAACACACACACACACAGTCACACACATCTGAAAGTCTCAGCATAATTCAGCTCTGTCTGCTCGCAGAGATTTAAACAAGCTGTGCAAAAGCTCCACGTCCGCGAGTCAATAACTCCTCAGTCTTATCGGGCTCTCCCACCACCACCCCCCCAACGCCTCCTCATCCAAAGACGCGTTGGAACGCAGGTGGGGAGGCCAAATGAGAAAGAGGGGCCTTTGTTAACCTGCTGTATATCATGCATGTGCACATGCTCCCCTTCAAGTGGCAATAAAACGGTAACCTATATGCTCTCGGGGGGACATTATACATATTCACCGGTGACAGGCCACACTGCGATCAGCACATAAATATGCACAAACACCCATGAGTGCTTTTTCACCCTGACATCCACAACAAAACCGAGAGAAACGGAGGAGCAATGATCTGCCCGACCCTTTCTCGCCTCCTCTAAATGAAAGAGGCATTTCCGGTGAGTTACATATTCAAAGAGTCCTCTGACTACTTATTGGGCTAATGACCTGCTAAAGCATATTATCGTTTCCAGCTCTCCAACCCAAAATAGCTGAAGCAAAAACATGCCTATCTGATACAGGCTCTTTTTCCTGCCACTCTGCCCCGGCCTTATCAAACACTGCGTAATAGCTGTAGAATAGAAAAAGCTTTCAGCGTCTCCTTTTCAATTGAGCACGATAAGAAAAATCAGATCAGAGCTCATTCAGCCAACATTGGCAGCATGTTAAGTAAATTCTCCTCTTACAGAAACTCAATTTGCCGGCGTTAATCTAAGCAGGGCCACTGTTCTGCGTGCAGCCACATGGCCACAGAAACATGCTGCTGTGTTCAGAGATGAGTGTGTCTCTTCTGTGACCAGAGTCTGACCATAAAGATCATTTTCACTTCATCCACTCCTCCGTGTTGTCTTTCACCTACTGACAAAACCCTCTTTGCCCTACATCCCCCCTAGTCGCACACCTTCTAACTAATCCCTCATCTACTTCAGCAATAGTCTCAATGTCGCTGAAATCTCCTCTTCTTCTAATTTCTTTTATCCTCTTTTATGTTTTGCTCCCATCTACTTCCTCCTCACCCTCCTCGTTAACCTCTTGATGCCATCTTCCCTCTGTGATACCCTATCATTCGTTTTCTTTGCTTTTTATAGACACCCTAATCCCTGCTTGTATACAAATCCTCTTCCTCTCCTCCAGCTGTCCGGCACCGGCTGCTCCAGCTGTTGTAGGTCTATTGACACGGTTCAAACAAAAGGGCTTACAGCATCCCACAGCTGTGGCTGATGAGGAAAGATGCCCAAACAGATACACAGATGCAGCCAACCAGGCAAGTCTGGTAGAGATGTGACGTTCACAAACGATCCAAATCTTTTTGAACGGCTCTTTCAAACGAATGATGAGAGCAGAGTAGCAGACAATGGCCAGCCAGTTTTTTCTTTTTGTTTGCGTCTCATCACACAAATGAAGATCCATACGCTTCTCATTTGCTTTTCCATGGCGATAAAGAACAGGATAAAGGGAGGAGTGCAACCGTTGTGATTGGTGAATGTGCTCGAGGTGGGAGGAAGTCACGAGCTTGACAAGCACACATTCAAATGGACTGTACTTATAT